GCTGCTGCTGCTGCTGCTGCTGCTGCTGCTGCTGCTGCTGCTGCTGCTGCTGCTGCTGCTCCGGCTCCTGTTGCTGCTCCGGCTCTTGTTGCTGCCCCTGCTGCTGCTCGTGCTGCTGCCCCTGCTGCTGTTCCTGACGCGGATGTGACTGCGCTGAAGGGCTAGAGAGGCAGCGCTGGCGATCGGTGGACTTGCTGCTGCTGTTGCTGCTGCTGCTGCTGCTGCTGCTGCTGCTGCTGGTTTAATGGGCTTTGCGTTGGTGTTTGCGGGTTGTCTTTCAGAGGCCCTGGAGGCGGACTGCTACATTGCTGAAGAATGCATGCGCGCAGCAGCAAAGCTGCTGCTGCGGCTGGATGCAGAGGGTCTGGATGTGCTGCTGGAGCTGCTGCAGCAGCAAATGAAAGCAGCAGCGCCAGTGTGCGACCTGTCTGCTGCAGGCCGCCTGCAGCTGCTGCAGCAGAAGCCAGCTGCTGCTAAGCACCAGAGCAGCGGCGCAGGCGCTGCAGCAGCAGCAGCAGCAGCAGCAGCAGCAGCAGCAGGCGAACGAACTCCGGATGATCCCATAACAGCAGATCTGTTTTTGGCCCCTGAGCTGCTGCGGCAGAACAAAGCAGTCCTTGCTTGCTGCGAGGCAGCAGCAGCAAACCCTAGGAAGCGGGAGGCTTGCTGCTGCTTGCTGCTGGCCGTTTGCTGCTGCCGCCCAGCAGCAGATCTCGAAGCCCGCATGCAGCAGCTGCTGCAGCTGCTGCTGCCGACGGCCCTCGCAGACCCTTCTGCTGCAGTTGCTGCTGCTGCCACAGCAGCACTTGGCACTCTGCTAGCGCCCTTAAGCAGAGACGCAGTTGAACCACTTATGCCGTTGGTAGGTGCCTCTGCTGCTGCTGCTGCTGCTGCTGCTGTTGCTGCTGCTGCTGCTGCTGTTGCTGCTGCTGCTGCTGCTGCTGGTATAGCTGTGCTGCTTCGTGAGAGCGAAGCTGCGCGTGTCGCCGTTGCTGCCTTTGCTCCTGCTGCTGCCCCCTTCTCCCTCAACGGCCCTGAAGCGAGCCCTTGCTGCTGCTGCTGCTGCTGCTGCTGCTGCTGCTGCTGCTGCAGCTGTACCAGGGCCTGTTCCGGCTGGTTGCGGATCCCTTGACGAACCGCCCCGTGGGGGGCGAGGTGCTGCTGCTGCCGGGGCTGAGCAGCAGCAGCAGCAGCAGCTTGCTGCTGCCGTGCTGCTTGAAGGAGGGCGTGTTGGGGGGTGGCGCTGCAGCAGGAAGCAGCAGCAGCAGCAGCAGCAGCTTGACGAGCGCGCTGCTGGCGGGCTGCTTGTCGCTAAACCCCAGAAGCAGAGAAGTGGGGGCCCGGGGCCTCGAGCTGCTGCTGCTGCATGCGCAGCAGCAGCAGCTAAAACCTCTTGGGATTAAAATCACGGGGCCCCTCATTCGCTGCGCCTCGGAGCAGCTGCCAGCGCGAGTCAAGACTGCGCTGCTGCGCGCGCTGCGGTGCGCTGCTGCTCCCCAAACCCTAAACCCTAAACCCTAAACCCTAAACCCTAAACCCTAAACCCTAAACCCTAGACCCTAGGAGCTGCGGGGGCTTCTGGCTTGTCGCCTTTCTGTGTCGGCTCCTGCGTCGGTCTTGGCCTGCTGAGGCGCGCGAGGGAGCCTCTTGCTGCAGCTGCTGCAGTTCTTGCTGCTGCTGCTGCTGCAGTTGCTGCTGCTCCAGCTGCTCCGGTCGTTGCTGCTGCTGCTGCTGCAGCAGTTGCTGCTGCAGCTGCTGCGAGTCGCTCTGCTGCAGTTGCAGTTGCTGCTGCTGCTGCTGCTGCAGCTGCTGCTGCTGCAGTTGCTGCTGCTGCTGCAGGTGTTGCTGCTGCAGCTGCGCGGTGCATTTGTGAGGAGAGCTGCATTTGCTGCGCTGCTGCTGCAGGGCTTTGCTGCTGCGGGCGGGCATGCACGTGAAGGCTTTGCTTCCGCAGCTGCAGGCGACGCTGCTGAAGTGCTTGGCAGCAGCAGCAGCAGCAGCAGCTGGCGCTGCTGCTGCTGCTCTTTGCCGCTGCTGCTTGGGTCTTGTTGCTGCGCTGCACACGCGGAGCCGCGTGGAGGCTCTGTTGGGCGAGCTTGCGCTGTCCATACACCCCACAGCCAGCACTGCAGCAGCAGCAGCAGCAGCAGGAGTCACTGCCATTTCTCCCCTTGTGGCCCTGCAGGTGCTTCCGTGCTGCTGCTGCTGCTGCTGCTGCTGCAGCGCCGCTCGCTGCCGCTGCTGCGCAGACGCGTGCTGCTGCTGCTGCTGCCCTCCGGGCGGTGTGCGCTGCCAACATCCAGTCATGCTGCTGCTGCTGCTGCTGCTGCTGCTGCTGCTGTTCACAGGTGGTGCAGCACGTGCTTGTGAACACAAGGGAAGCCGTAGAGGACCCTGCGCTGCAGCAGGAACTTGCTGCTGCTTGTTGGGCAGCAGCAGGTGCAGCACGGAGTGATCTGCAGCAAACTGTTGCATGCAGAGTGCTGGGGAGCCTCCTGGCTCCGAGTGTACATACACCTCAGACGCAGCAGCTGCTTCAGGAGTTCGTTGTGGAAGCAGCAGCAGATTTCCAGACTGAGACGCGCAAGGTAGCAGCACTTGAGCCTGCTGCTGCTGCTGCTGCAGATGCTGCAGTTTCTGCTGCTGCAGCTGCTGCTGCTGCTGCTGCTTCTGCTGTGTCTGGCTGTTTTATTGCTGCAACTGCTGCTGCTGCAACTCCTGCTGCAAGTGCTGCTGCTGCTGCTGCTGCCTGCAGAGCGCATGCTTGGTGCTGGCAAATTTGCTGCAAACGGGCAGCCAGGAGCAGCTGCTGCAGTTCCCGCTGCTGCAGCAGCCGCAGCAGCTGCAGCAGCTGCTGCAGCAGCTGCTGGAGGACAGGGCGCCGCCGGTTCAGGCTGCGGCGCTTCAGGTGTACAGACACCTCGTGCGACACTCCAAGTGAGTTTAAAGAGTTTTTAATTTTATTTTTTTATTTAAATAATCACAAAAAATAAATAACTCTTAAATAGTCTGCTGCTGCTTATCAAGTATATTTTTCTTTATTCTTTTCCTGCTGTTGCTGCTCCGCAGCAGCAGGATGTCTCAGCGCTGTAGCGGAGGGCGTTGAGCTGCTGCTGCTGCTGCTGCTGCTGCTGCTGCAGCAGCAACTCTTGTGCGTGTAGTTGCAGTTGTGTTCTGCTGCCAGGTCTGTTTGCTGCTGCTGTTGTCTGCAGAGGGCAGCAGCAGCTGGTGACTGTGTGCTGGGAGCTGCTGCCTGCAGTGCATGCAGCAGCAGCAGCAGCAGCAGCAGCAGCATCGCACGGCGCAGGGGAGTGGGTCCCTGCTTCTGATGCACTTGCTGCAGCAAAAAGGCTGTGCAGGGCCTCAGCCCCGTTGCTGCTGTCGCCTCCTGCTGCAGCAGCAGCAGCAGCAGCAAAAGCAGCACAGATTACTGACTTGGCCTTCGGCCATCTCTACTCCGCAAACCCTGCCGTGAAGCTGCAGGCAAGCTATCTGCTGCTGCTTCTGCTGCTGCTGCTGGAGGCGCTGCTGTTGCTGCTGCTGCTGCTGCTGCTGCTGCATTGGCTGCGCTGCGGCGGTGTGCCCAGCTGTTGCTGCTGCTGGCGCTGTGCTGCTGCTGCAGGCGGAGCAGCTGCTGCTGCAGCTGCTGCGGATTCGGGCCGGCAGCAGCGGGGTGACAGAAGAAGCAGCAAACACTTTGCTGTCGGAGCTGGAGAGCAGCAGCAGCAGCATGACAGGCCGTCGGCTGCAGCAGCTGGGGGACTACCTCTTCCGCGTGCTGCTGCGGGTGCATGCAGATGCAGCAGCAGCAGCAGCAGCAGAAGCAGCAGAAAGCGACGCAGAAGATGCAGCGCCAGCAGCAGCAGAACTCGAGCCAGACCTAGTCGAGGATAACTGGGAGGCGGTGCTTTAGGCAGCTAGCTGCAACGGCCAGCAGCAGCAGCAGCAGCAGCAGCAGCAGCAGCAAAAGCAGCTATAGCACAGCAGCAGCAGTTGCTGCTGCTGCTGCATCAACAGCTGCCGCTGCTTATATATATTTCAAGCTGACCACTGGCCGTTTAAGGGCAGATGCCCACACAGACAATTTGATAAATTGTGCTGAAGCCACACTGCTGCTGCTGCGCTGCTACTCTTGCTGCTGTTACCCGTGCTGCTGCTGCTGCTGCTGCTGCTGCTGCTGCTGCTGCTGCTGCTGGCCGAGGTTGAGTAAGGGCCGCGTGCGCTGCTGAGCAGCTCCTGCTTGCCGCTGCTGCTGCTGAAAGGCAGCTCCTCAACAAGCCACGTGCGCTGCAGCTAGCTAGCCAGCTAGCTAGCCAGCTAGCTAGCCATACTCAGCTAGCCAGACTCAGTTGGCCAGCTAGCTAGCTAGCCAGATAGCTAGCTAGCTAGCTAGCCAGATAGCCGCCAGGCAGCCAGCGAGGCCTACCACAGCAAGCTGCAGCTAGCCACACCCAGCTGCAGCTAGCTACCACCCGCTGCAGCTAGCCACATCCTGCTGCAGCTAGCTACCACCCGCTGGAGCTAGCTACACTGGCTAGCTGCAGCTGCAGCAGCAGCTAAGTGATGTCTTGTGAAGAATAGTAATAGGAGCTATTCAGTAAAGCTTTTGTGCGCGAACTAGAACTCCATCCCCCACTTCGCCGTGCAGCAGCAGCAGCAGCAGCAGCAGCAGCAGCAGCAGCAGCAATAGCAGCAACAGCAGCAGAATGTTAGGAAGGGCTTATCGGGAAGAGAAGCAGACAGCAGAAATAAATGGAGAAGCAGCCCTAGGCCCTTTGCCGTGACTTGTGCTGTTGCACGCTTCGCGTTTGCTGCTGCTGCTGCTGCTGCTGCTGCTTTCTCTGCTGCTGTTGGTTGTCTCTGCTGCTGCTGCTCTCTGCTGCTGCTGCTCTCTCTCTGCTGCTGCTTTTGTCTGCTTTCTATTATTTTGGGTTTCTTTTGCTAAATAACTCAAAGCAGCAAAAGTGCAAAACTCCCCTCGGGAAGCAGCAAGTGTCTGTACACCTGAGCGCCGCAGCGGGGAGCTGCACATACACCTCAAGCAGCAGCAGCAGCAGCAGCAGCAGCAGCAGCAACAGGAGCTCTCAGGTGTCTGTACATTGCAGTTCCGTCTCCAAAAGGCTTTAAACCTTCAGCAGACACCAAGACTAGCTGGTGGCAATTCGCTGAAGCTGCAGCAGCTGCTGCAGCACCTGCAGCAGCAGCTGCTGCAGCAGCTGATGCAGCATCAGCTGCAGCAATAGCTGCAGCGCCAGCTCCAATAGCGCCTGCAGCACCTGCTGCAGCGCTTGCTGCAGCACCAGCTACAGCAATAGCTGCAGCACGAGCTGCAGCACTAACTGCATATCAGTTACAGCAAAAGCTGCAGCGCCAACTGCAGCAGCAGCAGTAGCTGCAGCAGCAGCAGCTGCTGCTGCTGCAGCAGCATCAGCAGCATCAGTCCTCCTCGTCTGAAAGTCCTTTGGCGTCTCGTTCGAAAACATCAGCATCGTTCCAAAAGGCAGCGCCTGAAGCAGCAGCAGCAGCAGCAGCAGCAGCAGCAGCAGCAGCAGCAGCAGCAGCAGCAGAAGCGGCAGGGAATGAGACAGCTTTTAAAAACAATAAATAAAATGGCAGCCAAAAGAAAGAGAAAAAGTCAAAGCGCGGGCTGTACAGACACCGGAAAGACTGAGTTTGGAGGCGCAGCAGCGGCGCACTTGCTGCTGCTTCTTCTTCGTCTGCTGCTGCTGCTGCTGCAGCAGCATTCTCCAGGAACAGCTGCTTGCCCGTGACCACGTTGCTGCTGCTGCTGCTGCCCCATATGCCTTTTGAAATCATTTCTTCAGCAAAAGCAGCAGCCCAGCGCTCGAACTCCTCTTTGCTGCAGCGCTCCTGCGGAGTTCACAGCAGCAGCAGCAGCAGCAGCAGCAGCAGCAGCAGCAGCAAGAGCAGCAGGAGGAGCAGCAATAAGGGCATCAGGGGAGGCGGCAGCAAAAACAGCAGCAGCAGCAAAGGCAGCAAGAGCAGGGGCAGCAAGAAGTTGTAGAAGAAGGACAAAAGTGATAAAAGCAAAAAGAGAAGAAAAGCCGAAAAAGAAATAAACAAAAGAAATAAAACAATTAAAATAATAAAACAAATAAAATAAATAAAACAAATAAAACAAATAAAACAAATAAAAGAATTGAAAGATTTAAAATAATTAAAATAAAAGAATCAGAAAATGCTCAATCAAAAGGGCGGGCGAAAGACCCAGGTAAACGAATCTTGCTTCTGCTGCTGCTGCTGCTGCTGCTGCTGCTGCTGCTGCTGCTGCTTGGCCTACGTTTTCGGGGCAAAGGGGCCTGTCGGCGGGGCCGTTTCCTGGGGACTGTTCTTCTTGGCTGTCGCTGTCTTTGTAGAGGTTCGAGTCTTCTTCGTCTGCTGCTGCTGCTGCTGCTGCTGCTGTTTGCTGCTGCTGCCGGCTCACCATCTGGTCGTACATTGACTGCACTGGCTTGCTGCGCTCCCGCAGCCACTCCTGCCAGCAGCAGCAGCAACAAACAACAAGACAAAACGCAAGTCATACCCAGCAGCAGCAGCAGCAGCAGCAGCAGCAGCAGCAGCAGCAGCAGCAGCAGCAGCAGCAGCAGCAGC